GATTGCGATTGGCGAGGATGTGCCACGGGCGGTCTTGGCCGTCATGGCGATGCTAAACTTTCAGACCTTTAGTGGCCTTTTGCTCCTAAACCTCGTCTTCTGCTACGTGAAGATCGCAGGCATCTTGGCCATCCGGTGGCTGCTCTTGAAGTTCCCTGTGTACATACTCGACACGTCTGCCATCGCGACCATGGCGGCTTCACACGGCCTTGAGGTCCGAAGTGAAGAGGGCCAGGGTCCGACACCTTTTTTCACGAGATATGTAGACTGATCATGTTGAAGCAATGAATGATGAGTAGCGCACAACGACCCAGGGTGACAGATATCCCGACACCCATGGTGCTTTACTTGATTTCTTTTTGTATGATGTGTTGGTTTGTAACCTCTACTGCGAGTGTGTGAGTCGAATGTGGCCGTTGCTGCCAAGTCCCGGAAGCAGCTCCTGATCCCACGTGGCGTTGGCCTGCCAGAGGACCCGTCCAATAGTGAGTCAACATACTCAATATGTACTGAAGCCTATGTGCCCTACTGCTGACCACGCGTTTTCACGACGACCTTTGCGTGAAGCATCCTTCGAAAGGCCTTGAAAGGCCTTGACATTCGTCGAATGGGTGCAGGGATTCCTGCTTCGTGAGAGGACATAGTGAAGATGGCCGCCTTGTGCGCAATGTCACCTTTGTGCGGGGCTTGTCGTTTGCATTCTGTTTTGCTTGCGCGTTACCTCCCCGTGGCAATTGGCCATTATGGCATCCATTCACTAGACACGCGTTGCGGCAGAGAGAATACCAAGTACGAAGAAATCCATTTGTAGTCTTGACCAGGAAGGAGATTCCAGTGGCCGCTGCCTCAAGCAGTGCTGTCATGTCGCAAGGAGATGTCACCTTCACCCCAAAGAGTTCTGGCAAGAAGAATGCATGCTATTTCGGTTCAGCATCCGGATAATGTGGATACCTCGGGGTTCAGGTAGCCCCAGATACCTAAGGACCTGCATCTGCTCTCGGCCGCTCAGGCCCTAAATCGGGGCCTTTGAGTGTACTGCTAGCAGAGTTGCTGCTCAGCTCCGCTTGCAGGCAGGTAAGCTGCGTGTAACTGATCCGCTGAAGCTGCAGACCCGGTGCTATTTCGCAGCTGCTGTTGCAAATGGCTGCAAAGAACATGCATAGAAAGACGCCCCAGTCATTGCTACAGAGGTCGTTCTTGAAGGTCGTCGACAAGAATTTGGGCTGGAGGTGCTCAAGCATTCGCAAGCTGTCTATCAGACGTGTATTGTGTTTTGACCCGGCTGGTATCCCAGTATCTTGCGGACTGCTCTCAGGGTGCACTACCACGAGGACACGGACATGTTCGTGTCGTCGCTGAAGAGTGCAGAGTGCCTGATAAGCATTTTGAGGGGAAGCGTGGGAGCGTACATGTTGGTTGCTTGTTGCGTTTCATGCCAACTTTGTCTCACTCGCAGCTTGACTGCTCAAGACCCGCGTTGCGAGGTCTCAGGAAAAGGGCCGCTTACCCCTAGGGAGGTGTAGGACTTGCCCGTTCTCTGTGCAGTTAGTCTAACGGAACTTGAACTCCGATCTGACCTCCTGCAACGCATTGCTGTTGCCTTGCTTGCTTGGCTGTACGATTGGAGGCGGTCTGCTTTGTGACTGAGAGCTAAATGGCATTCTTCTGTTTCTCACGGGCTATCAGCCGTAGGACCTCTTGCTTCCGATTGTGTACCTTGCACTCGGGTCGTCTATCCGAATAGCTTCTGAAACACAGCCGATATCCTGGCGCCACTTGCCCCGTTCGGATCTGTGCTAAGTAGAGCCACGGAGAGACGATGACTCCGATTGGGTCTCCTCGTGTTCCATCGACCGCTGGTTCTTCACTAGCGACACCGGTCACTCGGAATGACGCCGGGCCTGATGATAGTGCTCTCGCAGCTCGCCTCGCCTGCTATGCCTCCCAGCAATGCCGCTGCTACGCCTGTGCATGCCACGCCTGCCGAGCGCCCTGCCTGCCGCCGCAAGTGCCGCCTTTGCCTTGCGCTGCCGCGATGACAGGCAACGTGCACCTTTTGCCCTTTGCTGCCGATCGTGCTTTGTCTCCTCTTCCGTGCTTTCATGCGAGTGCTGCTTCTGCTGCCTACTGCTTCTCGATTCGCACCCTCTACGACCGATACCTACCAATCTTGGCCTCTGTCTCTTCGCGGGGATCCTGAGGGCGCTCGGGCCCTCTTTGGGTCCGGGCAGGGTGAATCGGCCTAACGTCGCCCAGCGCATCGCGTGGATATTCAGGCGATCGCGCATAGCGTGCTCGGGACCCGTGCGGATCTCGATGTTTTGAGGGACGGGGTGCCGGACCTCGCTGAGAGCCTCGATAATAGAATGGAGGAACTGCGTAAACGATTTGTTACGGAGGTCGATAGGGTATTCCATGAAAATCGCCGAAACTACGAGCTCGCTCACGATCGGCGTATCGACGATCATAAAACACTCCATGAGAGGTTTGAACAGTTGAAGAGCAACCTCAATGATCGTCTCGTCGAATTTCTTCACATTTCTTCACTCTCAACGAAAATCGTGCGGATTCCATATGCGTGAAGCTTCATCGTACCATCAGGGACATCCAACGATATCCTAACAGTCTTCGGCAACTGTGTATCGGTATGTCTAACTCGGAAGCACGGATTGGTGCTGTTCGAAGCGATGCGAATCGAGATGAGTTGGTCCCTTCCCGATCACAAGAAGCCGACTGACGATCTCGTTGACGATCTCGCTACGAGAGTCGCTCATTTGGAAGCTTGAAGCTTGCTTCTCACATCGCCGTGATACTGCCGAGCGTGCGATTGATGAGATTCGCCGTGAGGTCAGATCTCACTGAGCTCGATCAGCTCCCTCACGAGCTGATGGAGCTCAATTCTTCGACATCAGTGATCACGATCGAGACGTTCCAAAACCTGAGGGCCTTCCGGATCCCTGTTTCCTGGAGGCGCGTCGTCGATTCCTCGATCTTCGCTCCTCGACCCATCCTCCAGTTTGCCACGCTGACATCGACTGCTCAGGCCAGACACGCGGCCTGACTGCCGACGATGTCTACCGAAGGGCTCGATTGCTCAGGGATGGTCGTCCGAAAGAAGAGCGAGCTGCCCTGAGCCGAAAGTCTTCCATCCACCTGGCCAGGGGTCTACTGGTTCATCAAGGCGAGCGTTCGAACCGAACATTCCAACCGCGCCATGCTCCGCCTGCAACGTTCGTCGACAGATCGACGTTTGGACAATCTCCATGTGTGCACTCAAGCCGCGCCTCCAGTGAGCATACCTACGATTCCTGAGGCGCGCATCCCTGAGCGCGGCTCTGGCCCGATTGCACAATGCAATCGAGGAGTGATGTATGAACGACTGTTCGCTCCTGAGCCTCGTCCGGCTCCGACATTCCCGTAGAGAGCTCGCTCCGATTTCCCTTACCCTTGGGAGCAGGCCTGCGCTGAGTGGACCATCTGAATGACGGAGTTCGCACTTCCGCCCCCGTGCCGTCCAGTGTTCCTGGCATTTCGACAAACAGTGCTCCAGGATTTGGTGCGCCGGCGGTCACGATGGCGGTGGAGCTTACGGTGGAGGATTTCCGAGCAGCGGAAACGGCCCTGGCCGGGCGCCTGGCGGATCATGGCGGTGCTGGCACCCCATGCCGGGATCTCTCACCGAACGAGCAAGGGCGTTGTCGAGCTTCCTGAAGCCGACATCAATGGCTTGGCCGGGATTGCTGGTCAAACATTCGATGCGCCTGATGACGAAGGAGATGGCGAAAGGAAGCTTGTTGGATGGCCGGCATATATGCGGAACCTTGGGGTGGCCTATCCAGACGCGGCTGCTAATGTGGCTGAGACTCTGGATTGGGGTGCATCCACCGCAGTCTCCTACAACAGCGGGGCGGGCGAACCAATCATCAGGTCCACCGGTCCCATGTCAGCCTTCATCTTGCTGATCGTAGCCGACATATCCTGCAATCCGACCTGCATCTCGCTCGAGTAGCAATCGATCACTCGCACGCTGGGCGACAGGTCGTAGGCAGCCTGGGTAAGATAGTGACCCACATCTCCATGCCAATACTTCTTTTTCCCGCGTCCACGTTTGAAGGTCAGCGCAGCGTCGTGGATCACCTCGAGGTTCTGCTGGACCCCATATAATATCGCTCCGTACAAGTAGGCGCGACGCGTGGCGGAGTATCCCATGGACTGAAGCTGCTGAGATCGCATCAGCTTGTGTCCATTTTCCCAGATAGAGCGGTTCCGTGGCGGAACTCTCATCTTATGGGATCTGGTGCTTCGACGCTGGCATCAATGGTCGGAATAGGATCTTTTTTCGATGGCCAGTAGTGCACCTCGCTCCATTCATCGAACCCCGACGGGTGCTGGTGAGCGTGAGGTCCAACCGCCGGCTGAGCAGCCGCCTCCACCACCGCGATCCAACAAGTCACGAGCTAGATACGAGGCTCAGGTACCTGGGCGATCTCCCTATGCCACCGAGCCAAAGCTCCCTCAGGTTCTTCGGATGAAAACCGTCGTCAACGATCCCAACCTGGGGAGGACCATTATTTTCCTGACCTGATACGGCTGGCTATCGATGAAACGAAGCCGCCCGTCATCAATAAATCAGATGCTGCGACCTTGATCAAGCTCAACGCAATCCTCAACATCCTCGTAACATGGAGAATGCGGGGATGGAGCCGTTGCTCGAGAACAATCCCAAACGATCCGGGAGGGTTGAGCGGTCGTGCTGCTTCTCCCGATTCATCCGTTGCGGGCACAGAAGTGATCAACTCCGACTATGGGACTGCTGTGCGATCTGCATCTCAGCAACCCAAGAAGGCCCAACACATGGAGCCGTGGTGCCCCGACCTCAACGCCAGACCTGTCTCGGCGGCTGAGACTGCAGATAGACGTGGGAGATTTCCGGCAGGAGCGGGACCCACCCAATCCGGCCGATCAGTGATGGAGCCCTCTGCACCTGATCCCAACGATAATCTTCAGACTGTACCTGTCCAGCCTAAGTCATCTCGATCGATGAACCCCTATAAGCGCCCTACGCCTCCTGCGAACCTATATGACAATCGATCATCCGTTCGCGAGAGCCCTGCACCGAAAGGGAAGGGCAAGCCCAAGGGAGAGAAGGGCAGAGGCGATAAAGGAGGATCCGATAACGGAAACATACGGAAACGGCAAAGGAATGAAAGGAAAAGGCGATCGAAGTAACGATGGACAACGTCGTCGGTAGTGTGTAACCGATCGAAGCAGCGATGACGTATGGCGTCTGTTCGAGTGGATCCGGTTGAGCCCCCGCGAGCATTGTTGACTCGCTCCAGAGTTAATGTTCGAGCCTTCTCTGATGGTGAAGCAACGATCAGACACCATTTCCATCGCTTTCCTCAGCAGTGCCTTGTCCCTGCCGAAGCTGGGAAGACCCAATGGCTAGCCATGGTATATTCCTCGTGTGTCTCTCTCCTTTCACTGACACTCGATGCTGCCAAGCTGCTGCTCTGAGCCCGTCGATCAAAAGCGCGAAACCCGATAAACGGTTACACAGTTCGGTCCGGTGCATTCCGATTCCGATATAATGCATCGCTACAGTTCTGAAATCGCATGGGCTGCGAATGTACATTGTGAAACATAGGCCTGATGAAGCTCCAAGAATCGACCCATGCCTAATGGTCTCTTGGCTTCAAGGCTTGGAGGCATGGCTCGATGTACGATTAGAGGTGTGTGACACTTTTAAACTCCGTCTCTCTCAAGAGTGAGCTCGCGTCGAGGGGTGGTGTGATTTGTCACCGACTTGCGTGCACGTACACCTTGGTTGCTTGTTGCGTTTCATGCCAACTTTGTCTCACTCGCAGCTTGACTGCTCAAGACCCACGTTGCGAGGTCTCAGGAAAAGGGCCGCTTACACATGGGGAGGTGTAGGACTTGCCCGTTCTCTGTGCAGTTAATCTAACCGGAACTAGAGCTCCGATCTGACCTCCTGCAACTCATTGCCTTTGCTGTTGCCTTGCTTGCTTTGCTATGCGATGGGAGGCGCCGTGCTTTGTGACCGAGAGTTAAGTGGATTCCTCTGTTTTTCACAGAAAGCATTTGGTGACGTTTACTCGGAGGTACCCACCGTACTTCTGGTGCATCAAGGACAAACATCTTTTGCCGTTGGAGGCATGTGCATAATTCGAGTGTGCTGCACAGTTGCACAGAAGCGTCTTTGGAGGTCCTGAAGGCAGTCGCTGAGCAAGGCGGATACATGTACGAAGATTTGCCCAGCGTGCTGGCCTCAGCTTGCGGAAACCTAGAGCCTGCGGACCTCCATCACATGCTGAGGATCCTTTCTCTTTGTTCCGATGTTTGACCGCGACACAGGCCATGTGGCTAAGATTGCTAAAGGACTCAAAGAGAAAACGGGCAAGGCGTAGCGCCTGCAGGCATGGACCGTGGCATGCACAGAAGCACAAGTAGCTGAGGCAGGCTGCAGCTGCATGTCCAAGCTGTCGTCGGTTGCAGCTTACTTTGCCTAGGTTGGGGAGTTGGCAACGTTGTTTGACGACAACATCACATGGCCCAAGTTAAGTATTTTTGAACCCGAAGAACAGTCTGGGTAGCCGGCAGCCGGCACTTGATATCGCTTGCCTTGAGAAGGCTGGTGAAGCTTTGATGAAAGCCTGGCAGACGACGGGCCTCCGTGAGGCCGCGTGGCAATCCTAGAGACAACCCTAAATAGCGGCGTGCTTACTGACTGCGTTTGCAAACCCAAAAGCGCTCCGCAGAGCACGCAGTGGTCCCGCTTACAGCCACATGAAAATCGCTGTCGGGAAGTCCGCTGTGCGGCTTTGCTGTCACTTGAGATGGGGACTGCTCTTCGGCGTTGCCGAGGGTGCCAAAGGGTGCCTGTCCGCTACCACCTCATGCTTTGGCCTGTTTGCTAGGGCACTCGTAGTGTGCCCCGGGACGCTTCTCTCGAAGATAAGGGCTGCTTGCTCGCATGTTCCAAGCGGTGTGTATTGATTGGCAAGAACCAGGAGCCGCTAGAGGCGCCGGAGATCATCAAGCCGTACGCTCAGCGATTTGTAATCCCGATGAAGTGGCTGTGCTCGTGGCTGAATCCTGCCGAGCCGGCCCCAAACAAGCGCTGGTCTCTTTGTGAACACTTCGAGACTGAGCACAAGACGTGGTACTCAGTCGTAGATTGCAGCCTGCTTGACGGGGCTTGCAGCTTCTCAGCGTCTAGCAACAGATGGTCATGAAGCAAGCTATGTACATGTAGCTCATCTCAAGTGCTGTCGTGGGCGAGGCCTCAGCGCCGCGACCTTGATGTGGGTGGTGGATTTGGGGACACAGGATTTGCACAGGCCGGTGCCCGACATGATGTCATGGATGCCTGACTGGTTTTTAATACAAGATATCAGAGTTCAGATTCAGTCCAGCAACATGACATGACCGGAGACAGGATGACACGAAGTGGGATGAACTTTCCGACGACGACGAGTCCGACGAAGAGGACTTATGCGTTCTGGCACCAGCAAACGCACTGCAAGCACGTATCAGTTTACTTTAAGTGGCCGGAGCCTGCAAGCCTCTGCTTCAAACCCTCACCGCCCTCCAACGCTGTGCCGGTATGGAAGAGCCAGGAGAAGAAGCCAGTGGCAGATGAAAAGTTGAGAGCTCAGCACATGCTATCAGGGACCTGGCATGCCATTTGTTGGGGTGCTTGCCAGTCATAGCTAGCTGCCACAAAGCTACAAAGAGTTCCCACGGCATTTGCTGCGAGGTGCATGCCTGCCACACTCCGCAACATTTTTACGGTTCAGGGGAAGCGATTGCCCACTCCTAAAAGCCGAACCACCCGGAAGCCGAGACCTAAGTGGCTGGGCCCTCACCATGTTCAATTCTGCCTTCTCTTTGTGAAAAGACAACTTGTCAAGTTCCTTTTTTCGCCTCACCAAGAACATGCCCCTGCGCTTCAAGCAGAAGACTTGGCCGTGCCTCGGGGGCCTTTAGCCGGGCCACAGGCCATCCTTGGTATTTCCTCGAAGATTTGGGACCCCGCCATGAAGTCATGTGGTGCAGAAGCTTCCCCGACTACTGAGGAGGTGGGCTCGGTATGCGCTTGCGACGGCGCTGCGAAATGCAAAGGCCGTGGCATGCAAGTTGCAGATCCACCTGCATCGCACTCTCTTTGTGCATATGAAGGACGACACTGAGAGCATCGATGTCGAGTGTCAAGTATCTTCAAGGCCATGCATGCTGAATGAGAGCTGAGATCCGCAACTGCAAAGTACGTATCAGTTGACCTAGCACCACATGTCACCATGCCCGATGCTCCAACCTCTAGTTTGCACCTTGGCTGAGTACGACCCCTGACAAAGGCAAAGCAGACAGAGCCGGAGAGAGAATCTGCAAATCGAGACAACAACGATTCGGCGTCACTGTTTGTGCTGTTTTTTTTCAGAGCGGTGAATGACATGTCTCGGCCAGTATCCAATGCAGTTCATGTTGCGCATCAACATCCCTGAAGAGGCAGCTCATGTCGGAAGCTCAGCATATGGCGCCGAACGATGACGAGAAGCAGCTGCTAGACTCGCCCAGGGAGTCTCGATGGCAAGGTGTTTTTTTGGTTTTGCCATCCATCACGACTCGAAACTGCTCGAGAATAGCTCTTGGGAGCCCTGTGACTGAGTTGGTGCGTACGTTCCCTGCACACACCCTATTCCTCGCCACCCTGCGCCACCCGGCAGACTTCCGACGGCTGACCTTCCTCAGGACATCAGTGTAGAGGAGGGTGGGGATCCTCCAGAAGATGGCGAAGAGCCAGCTGAAGAAATAGGGGGCACCTTCGAGTACGCCGACAACTTCCGGGAGATGATGATGTATTCGGCCGAGGACAAGAAGGCGAGGCCCCAAGAGCAAGCACAAGTTTGAGCATTGGGCTACGTGCTTGCGGTAGATGGGTCTTGATCACAGCGACATCTGCTGGCCTTTTGCGAAGTCGTCACTCTCACTCCAAGATGCAATCGCCGCAGGCAGATACTTTTGTCCCGATCGCTGGCAACACCTACCGCTGCCAGGAAGCACTGTAAGCCTGTAAGCTATCGGCTCCGAGTGCGTGGCACTGGCAACGGCGTTATACGCTGAAAACACACGGTCAATGGAGAAGCAAATCATATTGTTGGGTGAATGGTGCGAGAGGGTAAAACTGAGTGCCTTCCTTTATCGTCAGTATTCAAGAAGACTCAGGATGGCATCAACGGGACAATCAGAGCAAGTCTAGGTGGCAGTAAAAACCTAAAGGTATTGTCATCTGCAAGGAGTGCACCTGTGACAAGAAGCACAGCACAAACATTAAAGTCATTACCAGCATCATCACCATAGCAAGAGATGCTCAATGAAAGCACAGAGCCTGGTGTAACATCGAACATACACCTCTTAATAGACACATGTTTAGCCTTTCAGGGGGATGAGCTCAACTTATCGACTGATGGCTAGCACCACGAAAGCTTATCTGTAAGGCAGGATCCTTCCACGTAGCAGAGCCTGACGGGCAACATAAATATCAATGTGATGCCATGTTGAATTTCTGGGTAAGAGAATGGCTTGACTTCGAGCTCTGGAGTTCATACTCATGGCGCCGTTTGCAGCGAGGCTTTTGGGGTCTTGGCATCCCAGAGCACCGGTTCACGACCCAGAACTTCGGCGTGCCCCTTGGCAGAGTTCGGGCATGGCAGAGAGGAGCCCAGGGCACAGTGCAGGATCTGTCATCCTTGTACAGTTTCTGCAAACGATTTCCTATCCTACACCTAAGTACCCTCCTTTTTTCCAGCAACTGTGGCCAAAGGTTATCCATCTTGTTGGTGCAAGTGCTTTCACCACCGGCCTGCATTATCTACAATCTCTACAAATTGGACTCCGAGCAGCACAGGGTGTGACATGGGCATCCCCAGAGCCGGTTGAGGTCCCGGTGCGTCGCCTGAGGATTGGGAAGGCTGGCACTTCGGGTTGTCCGACTGGTACTACATCCCGAACAGTGACGAGCACGGCGTAGCCTATCTCATCTTCCCAGAGCTTAGTAGGACCTTTTTTCTGCAGCACGTGCTAGGAGAAGATGCTGTAAGCGTTAGGTGTCCAATCTCTCGAAGCACATTGTCGCAACGGCTTTCTTGATCATGTTCACCCTGAACGGCGCGATGGTCGTGGACAACGAACGCATCGCATCCCTGCTGCTCGCCTCCTCGTATCGCGAGTTTCCTACGGCAGTCATCAGCTGACTCATCAGCGGCCAGCGACTTTTGTTGCATGATGCCTCGGCTGATTTGTGCTTCCATCTCTGTCCCAGGAAGATCACTGCATTGTTGGATGCTCCGGCCATCAAGCACAAGCCAGGCTTTCTGAAGGACGTGAACCTCTTTTGGCTCAATGTTGGTCGCGTGTTAAACTGTGTCGTTGTGATCGAGCCTTGGCCTTCAAGCCTCTTCCTTCAAGGAAGGCGGATGCTGCATCGGTAGCCTCCTTGCCTTTGCAACCATGCCTAGGAGTGCTGCTTGATCGTCTACTTTGCCTTCGTGTTGTCGGAGAATCCAATGGATGTCGTGTTCAACGCGTTGGCTGTAACCTTCCTTTACAACCTTGATGATATCGGTGGCGAAACAGGCAGGGAAGGCTGGCACCAGTCACTCCAGGTCAAAGATCGGCAGCTTGTCACTGAGGCTTCCTCACCGAGGACGACTGGGATGGAGACGAACTTGGCAAGATCTACTACCATGCTGTCCTCCGGCTCAAAGAAATGAGCACCCTGCGATCACCCCAATGCCGGAGCACCATCTTTTGGGGCCTCTGAACCGGAGGCCTCGTTCAGGGAAGGCACGGCCTGCAGGCCTTTGGTGTGGGAGCTGCGTGCACAGCTAGCGGCACCCGTGCATACACCTGCGTGAGCATTTGTGCTTTGGTGAAGACTTTGGCCCCTCGGGAGCGACAGTGCTACAACAGCAGGCTGACATCTCAGCAGACTTGTATGTAACCAAGATTTGCTGCGAGGTGGATGCATTGATGACGGACAATGAGCAGCTCAACCCGGATGGCTACACACCTGACGAGATTAACTCCTGTAATCAGATGCGGGACAAGTATGGCCACCTGCCTAAATGGAAGCAGAGAGTAGCCGTCGCAAAGAGTAGAGCTCGGCCCCAAAGCATATACAAAAAGCTGAGGTTCCTGGACGTACAGGCCACCCATTCTGCAGATTCATATGTTTTGCTACGCACCTGCAGTGATGAAAAAGTAGTTGGTTCTGTCAGACGCGGAGCTTGCGTGGAGTCGAAGTGGAACTGTCGCACAGGATTGCAGAGCCGCTTTGCTATTTGTTGGTGATCCTCCTGCCAATGGAAGCTTGGCTGACACAGCTTGCCGAACTAACACATCCTGGGCTTGTATTGTACACTTGTTGTAGCATGGCCGCCCGTGGATAGTGTAGCCTCACTAAACAGTGCAGGCAACACGGCCAGAAAGGGAGCTAGCAAGGTTGGTTCTTGTTCGGAGGTTCCCTGTTTTGTGCTATGCCCACCTTGCAAGTCCCCTTGTGCTGCTCATGCTCATTGCCTTGTTGGCCAGAACCAAATCAATGAGGAACAGTGGTACATCAAGGGGGCAGCAATTCAGCGGAAGTGTTCAAGTGTGGGAGTTATGAGAGGGACGGTGCGTAGACAGACTCACCGCAAGAGATACGCATCAAGCAGCGGCACCGGAACAAACAAGCCTGCCAATGCGCAGGTGGAAGGTGGATGAACCCGTGACGAGCTAGCAATTGGGACGTTTGACCGGGCGTCGAAACATGTTCGACAGCGCCACGGACACCAAATTTTGGACAAATGACGCCGGCAGACCTGGTGTCTGCAATGGTGCCAGGCGGCGAAAAACATAAGAGGCTGCACAAGTGCCGGTGAAGAACAAGAGCAACCGCCCACTGCCAAAGCGAGGGGCCGGGTTGATCACATGTTTTCAACTAGGCAGGCCCTTCTTTAACAGCCAGCATAGCATTTGCACCGGCATTTATGATGTCGTTGCCTTGCATGTGGCATCGAAACAGCCTTCAGATCCTTGGCCTTGGAGTAGCCGTCTTGAGGCTTACATCTTCATTGACGAGTTGAAGTGCAAGCCAAGCCACTTGAAGCTCGCGGTCATGGAGCTGCAGAAGGAGGCGCTTTCCCACCCAAACCCGTATGCAAAGAGAAGATCGGACTGTTGCAAGTCTTCCGGGGAGTCAGACATGTCCTGCGGCAGAGATAGAAAGCAGACGGCTCGTCGACGACCCTCCCCCGTGGCTGTCACGTCTTTTCTTTGGCCGGATGGGAGGTGGCGGCGTTGAAAGGTGGCGGTGCGGCCCTCGTCTTGTAGTCAACAAAGTCTGCTCAGCTGCCTTTGTGCCTTTGCCTCTGCGCAGTACCACTGCAGTCACTCAGATCTGCTGATCAAGGCGCTGGCCCTTGAGAGAACGAGGCGCCCGATGCATCTTATTGCAGTTGACTCCATGTCCGGGTACTGAGACAGACAAAACGCACCCAAGTCCTTATGTAGTTGAACGGCTGCAGGCAGAATCCCCTGTATTGCGAGCGAAGCACTGACAGGTTTCAAGTGCCATTTTCAAGCAGGCGCTCAGCAAAACAGTTTAGATTGCTAATGCAGGTCACGAGCCTGATTGGATTGAGTACTACCGAGTCTTTGATTACGTTCGCGAGCTGCTTGCAGATGTGCAAGTTTATGCATGTTGCTCAAAACCTCCTGTTACAAAGAGGGCTGGAAGATTTTGCACGAATTCGCGAATCCCCACCCGGAGAGATGGTGCCGGGTGCGGCGCCGAATATTTTCAAGCAGCGGTCATAGCATTCGTGACCACCTGTGTCACTCAAGCTGCGTCATGTTGCCTCTTCAAAATTACTCTCAGACTGTTTCTGTGGTGTGCTGCTGGGTGTGCTGGTTGCCTGTGTTGTGGGCCTGTGTCGCGGTAGAATAGAAGCTACCAGACGAAAACTCTCTTGCTTGTGCCGAGGATGAGCGAGAAGACCGCGAGCTGATGCTTCGATGTGCCCCAGAAAAATTCGTGAGTAGTCGTTTTGAGATGATGTATCCCCTCCCTGGAGGTTGAAGTCTTGAGTCGTTGAGTGGGCAAGGCAAGCTTGGTGAGGCGAGGCCTATGGGAACTGCAGGTGCCATCGCTTGGAGAAGCGGTCTGCATGATTGCAAGCTGAAGGTTCTGGAAGCTCGCAGCGTTTACAACCAAGCCCCCTCGCTTCTCTGCATGTGCAGCAGTAGATGCTTTATGTGCTCAGTTTTGCTGGCCCGGTTGGCTGTACGAAGTCATCGAGTGAGAGGTCCAATACTAATCGAACCGACGAATCAGATCGACTGGGCGACTCATGACTCTGAACAGCCCGGGTTTGAACCCTGCGTTGGGTGGCATCGAAGGCCGCACATTGATGCAACATGCTCCATGCTCCGAGAGCACGAAGATCAAGCACTTTCCCTGACATCAACCGCAGCGGAAGAGAGCGGATGTTTGCAGCCTTCAGCCCCCCCCGGTGCCAGGGATGAATTACATCGAGACTTTTGTGTCCAGTGTAGGAAGCTTGGCCGAACCCTGAATCCTGACATCTCATCCAATCCCTGGCGCCGTGCAGAAAGACTGTTTGGGAAGACTGCAGGTGCTGCGCATGCAAAAAGAAAGTGACGGCAACAGCTTCCTTGAGCGAGCAGCAGACCGTCAGAATGCACTGCATGTTGGACGTGATGTTGAGCTACGGCAGAACAGCAGCAACACAGGTACACGTATCCCCAGCACTCAAGCCTCACAGCTTCCCGAAGTTCTACTACAGCCTGCCATATGAAACGCTCAGCCGCTCTGATGACGGCAATAACACGAATTCATAGTCTGAGTGGGTGATCAGTGGATGGGTGCATCGGTGTGTGTCGCGTTTGTCGTTTCCAGATGCGTCTAAACACGATGTGCAAAATCGTCAAAGACGAGCGCAGATCTTCAGCCGGTGTCACCAGCGGGGGGTTAGGGAAGGGCCAGGACAGCCAGTTTCGTGAGCCATTCCCGAGCGACGAGAGATTACGTCACTTGTGCAACGATTCCAGCAAGGCAAACACTCAAATGACATGCCATGATCGGTATGGCCCTGGGACGTCGAGGTGCAAGGCTGTGGTGCCATGGCCTCATTGCCAAGTTAGAATTTGCTTTCCAGCCGTAGTGTGACTTTGGTCGTGAGGCAAATGGAAGAACCGAAGAAACGGTGCTTGTTTGCTCAAGTTCTGATCACATGTAGGCAGAAAACCCTGTCTGCAAATGCAAACACGGAATACTAGCCATGTCGCCAGGCGCCTTGGCCCATGAGCTGGTTGCAGAAGGCAACAGACACACAGACGGACAGATCTCGACACACACACACACGCACACAGACAGAGCCCAAGCAGAGCCCCATCTTGCTCACCATGCCTGTTTCGACATGGCCCATGAGCATGAGACATGGCCCGGGGCTGGGATGATGATGTCTTCACTCATACCTCCTCTATGCTGTCACGAAAGCTTTCACTGTGCTACATCGGAGCCAAGCAATCGTGTTTAGCTGTCTGTCATTCATGACCCAGGCCAAGAAGACCGACTGGCGCTTGCCTGTGGCCTGTGCCTGGTGCTTGGAGAGTCGGGCGATTCAATTTGAGAGCTCGCGCGGCAGAAGGCTAGCCGTTTCCTTCACGACAAGTCTGCGTGTTCGCTCGGATGCCATCTCAAGATCTCAGGCAAGGTCAAGGTGCACGAACTAGAGCCCCGGCGCGACTCACCAAGAGGCAGTCTTTCGGCAAATGAAGCGTGTCCGCGAAAAGGCTCCGCGATTCGCTGCACGGACCCGGAAGGAGTGAAAATGAAAATGCTTCCAGGCACGATCGAAACGGGCCCCAAGCTGAAGGGATGTCTTCCAGAAATGAGGCGGGAGGCGGAAGTCACTAGGATAGGGGCTTAGGGGCAGTATGGTACTGACTTGATGCCCTCTTGTGGAGAGTAGCATCCTGGGGTCGCCGTGGGCGCCATAGCCGAATTCCAGCTCGACGGGTCTCAGGCCCACGAGACAGAAAGAACGAGGCACAAAAAGGTACTAGCGCCACCTCCACGTCCAAACCTTGAACTCGCCGGACGCGAAATCCATTGCTGAGAAGGATCACACTCTGGAGTCTTTGTGAACCGATCCTTCTGCGCGCACGCACGCACGCACGCACGCGCACACACACACACACACACACACACGGGACACAGCCCAGGGCCAGATTTCGACCGACAGCATTCGCAACTGACGCCTACCTGCCGTCTTGATGTCATGAGGTGAAGTACAACATTGGCTCCTTTCTTGCGGTTTTCTCACTGGGCCTCCTCGGCTTCTGGCAAAACCCTGCCTGAAGCTCAGCAGATGATTCCGGACAAGGGCTGAGGGTCTGTCGGCTTCAACAGTCAGTTTTGAAAGCTGCCGAGCAAAATTTTGAGGCGTGGGCAGACTGTCCAGGCAGGTGGTTGATGCAAGAGTGATACAGAGTTGTCAATTCTAAAACATCAAATGAAACCAGTTGCTTAGTTGTTGAACCGGCATTCCGAGGGTCTTAAATATTCTGCTCCAGCTGGTTCTGGCATTCGTGGTACTGTTCTGTATGGCGGCTCTTGCCCGCCTACATTCAAGAAGCTCGGAGCTGAAGCTTGCTGCCTTGCTCGAGCAACTCGCAGCGGGGCGTATGCCAAAGAAAAAGGCCAACTCTGCACTTGTGACAGGCCTTGAGGAGAGCTCATCCTTCCGGCTCCGCCGTGGCTTAAACGAAGCCCTGAAGCTACGCTCTCAGGGCCGTACTTGTAAGGGCCGTTTCGGTGTCCGTTTCCCTTTCATCATGAACGGTGGCTGTGACATGTCGACGTCGATATCGTGCTTGTTCCTGGGTTGCTCACTTCCACGCGCTACTGTTTTCTTGCTACTGTATACTGTATCCCGCCACGGACACACTGCCCGAACACCCCTGACCAAGGGAATGGAGCTCTTCTCAGACACAGGTGCCGCTTGTTCACTGCCCACTGCTCATTCATACGGCGAGCTTTCGGGGCAGGGCAAAGAGGACCTTGACAACTCGCTTGAGGAATCGCAGGAGGCCTGGACTTGCGGAGTCTCCGAAAGGATAAGCACAGCGCAGCCGTCCGAGGACAGTGTTGAAGACTCGGAATCGGAAATCCCAAAGCAGGATCCGGCCGAGGACCTCAAATCCCATGGATTTGCGAAAGATGCCTTTTTGCTAGAGCATCGCATAGCACTGCCCAATACTGCCCAAGTCGCCGTGCGCTGTGACACGCCAGTGCTCCCTTGCTTGTATGGGAGATCGGACACGTCCCTGAGCGAGGACTCGGAAGGCCAAGCCGTGAAGCCCGCGAGCACTCCAGAGCCGGTGGGCCAGCAGCAATGGGCATTCCGCTGCGCCCCACGTGTGCAATGGCATGTTGACTCAAAATGATTCATCTTGACTCATCTCATCGGAAGGCACCAGTGAGTGCCGGTTCTCCTGTAGTTGACATTGCGCCTGCCGACAGCTCAGAGGAAGACGGCATACTTGTCGTTGATTCGGTTGTCAGCGGGCCATCACTCAGGCTCGTGCTGCAGCACATGCCCCTGCCCAAGGCTCTGGCAGAGCGTGATGGGGCCGGCCTTGCCGTTTCGACTAGCACGATAAAAGCCGGTCTGTTTCTTGGGAGGCAAGTCGAAGTGGGTGTTCTGCGCAGGACAGTGGCAGGACCGAGGGCTGGCAATATCAAGTCAAGCAATGTGCTATCGTGCACAAGTCAGGGCAGCTGTCACGTTTGTCGCCCTGCCTTTTCGAGAGCAGTGAGTAGGAATGCACCTGTGATGGTGTAGTGCGGTGGGGAAACAACGACAAGTCACTTGGCTGCTGAGTCATGTGTTTTTCGGACATATGCCGACGGAAGCATGTTGTTGTTGCTCGACCTGTTGTCGTATCAGGTGGCTCTACATCAAGCCGAAAGCAGCCGGATCTTTGGCAGCTATTCAGAACATGCGCGCTGATCTGAAGTGCCGAGGTGGCTGTGAGCATGCATGCGTGCGTTCGTGGTATTTTTATGTTGTTGTTGTGTTGGTGTTGTTGTTGTTGTTGGTTGTTGTTGGTTGTTGTTGGTTGTTGTTGCTTGTTGTTGCTTGTTGTTGCTTGTTGTTGCTTGTTGTTGGTTGTTGTTGGTTGTTGTTGGTTGTTGTTTGTTGTTGTTGGTTGTTGTTGGTTGTTGTTGGTTGTTGTTGGTTGTTGTTGTTGTTGTGGTGGTTGTGGTTGTCGTTGTCGGTGGCGGTGGCGGTGGCGGTGGCGGTGGCGGTGGCGGTGGCGGTGGTGGTGGTGGTGGTGGTGGTGGTGGTCTTGTTGTTGCTGTTGCTGTTGTTTTTGTTTGTGTGGTGTGCGCGCGTGCACAGACTGTGATTCCAAGCTGGGCCCGGCACAGATTTTGCATTTCGGAAGGGCTCCGATGCTCGAGGCTGGCAAACAATGACATGGCTCAGACAAAAGCTTGTTTGCTGAGCCTTTGCGACCCGGATGCTGGGACCACGTAGGAACGTAGTATGTGCAAAGTGCTGGCTTTGTCGGTTGGACTCGGGAGGGAATGGCCGACTTGCAATCTGCATGGCACATGGCATGAACTGGGTCTCAGCCGAGAACCTCACTAAAAAACCAGCGATTTGTTCTAAACCGCCGCCTCTTGACCACAGACTAACAGCGGACTGTAGACTAACAGCGGACTGTAGACTAATTAACAGCGGACTGTAGACTAACAGCGCACTGTACTATTTTGACGCAGGTTTAGGACTTGCTCCAAAACCAGCACGGCGCCGGCACGCGCAAGGGCGACAAGTAGTGTAAGAAAGTCCTGCTCCTGGCTTGTCAAGGCTTCGAGGTGGGAACGTGTTTAAAACCGTGTGCGCGCAAGAGCGCTCAAGGGCGAAGCGCAAGGCGAAATTCGAGTTACTGGCTGCAACCACAATGAAGAACAACCCCCGACATTCTCCACCCCCCAGAACAAAAGCAGTGGAAATGGTCGCAAATCAGCCATGTCCATCATGCAGAAACTTCACTTTTGGTTTGGCTCATGCCAAGCACTGATGGTCGTTCTGCATGCGGTGCCAAGGGGAACTTCTCACGGTAAAGTGCAGCATCCAGGCGAGCCGGATCTGAGTTCATGCAACTCTGAGTTCATGAAACTTCCTTGATGAGGATGCCCTTGCCCCTGCTCACAAGTCAGAGCATGTCACGCCTGCAGGTCCTGAACGATATTCTTCCAGGCGATGATGGCAAGCATTGCGAATGTCAGGTGACGCCGGGAACGCCTTTCTACCAAGGACCTACGAGTAGCATGTTCCAACCGGTTGCATTTCAACTCGCAACTTCTTGCCGAGCGGTATTAAGTATTATCTCTTCACGTGCTGTATTATATTGTATTCTATTGTCTTCTTGTAATTAATAGATTATACTAAATGATATTATATGTATTGTGCAGCCCAGAGCCGGAGCGCTCAACCGCCAGCTCCCTTTTTTGACGAGGACTGAACCCCATGTGGCTGCTCCCGGAAGAAGCCGAAGCTGAGGGTGCGGCTTTGGTATCGTCTTGCGACATCTTTGAGTTGGCCAAGGAGCAAAGGAGTAGGCGGCGGCTTAGGGTTTTTAGCGTTCAGGGTGCGCCCCCAGCTACATAGCCGCAACGCTGTCACCTGCTGGAGGACAGAGGCCTTTGGGGTCGCAACCAGTGGCGGGCAGTCGAGGCGTTTCATGGCAGAGTCCATTTAGAGCTCGCAAACGGGAAGAGGTGGCCATGTCCCTTTGTTTCCCATTGCCATAGGCATGATCACTGGGCCCAGGTTTTGCTCTGAAGATTGGACAGAAACAGCAGACTCCCGTGCGGGTGGCCCGGCAGCGAAACACCTTCTTCACCTGCATGGCACGGCCACCTTGCAGCTGCTGCAATGTGAGCGCTTCAGGCGACAGGCAGATGAGCCTGGACATCATGCGTAAATTGATGCAGGCTCGAGTCGATCCGCGTTTCAAGGATGCAACTTGGCCGCGGCGCAGAGCGCGGAGCTTTGCACCCGTCCCGTGGCTCACACTCAGGCTTACAAGGCTCACTTCGCCCAATCTGGTGAGATGCGGGGCTGGACGCCGAAGGCTTATGTCAACTATTTCGCGAGTACTCCATCCGGGAAGCACGCGAAGATGACAGAAGAGCTTGTTCGATCCGTACACCGCTTCTCCAAGAAGGCTCGTCCTCAAGAAGACTTCACCGGTCACCCCCATCCCATCTACAACCATCTCCTCAGCACGCATGGGGATCGCTGTCCCGAGTCGAAATACTAAGATCTGGAATCGGATGAAGCGGGTGACGCGCGGTGGTTTCGAGTCGCATGCAACAATGCACGGACTCTTGGCTGATACGGTATGACAAGCTTTTGCACGTGCTCTGCAGGTGATCATTGTGGTGAATTTCGGCATGACGACGTCAGCGAAGCTTACCCCAGAGCGATATCCTCGCCTGATTCTGCTGCATGCTGATCCGATGGATTCCGCATTGAAGAGAAGCTTCAACTTTAACAAGATTCTCGGCAAGATGTCAGAAAATCGCTTTGCAAAAAGCTTCCACGGCATCACAAAGCCAAGGCTTCGTGCCTTCCTCTTTGCACGGGCTTTGGCAGGGGTTGGCTTAGACTCCGCGCAGACCTCAGTTGATTTCGGTGCCGCGCCGCTCGGACCTACCCTTATTACCTGGTTCCAGCCTTCCGACTACCAAGGACCAGTTTGTCGCACCCGGCGTCGACCAACTCTTCGAGATGACTGAGTGGCTCGAGTTAAGCTCCAACAGGGCTTGTCATAGCAGAGCAGAGCTGCCTGTGATCTCCTGAACCCTATCCTTCCCGAGGCGAGAGATCACTGCAAACTATCCACTCCCCATCATGCCAGTTCACTTCCTGGACCGAGGACCCAAGGCCTCGGACTTGCATGAGCGCGTCAGCTTATCATGACTTGCTTTGCAGAAGGCAGGGAGTTCGTGCGCAGGATCTAGGCGTCTGGTGGAGCCGATACTGTGTTGATACAGCTTCTTGCCTGCAGAAAGTAGCCGTCTTATCGCATGTCGTGTGTTCGAAAACCTTTCCGGAGTGGACAAAACCAGGGCGGGAAGCCGGTCGCATCCTCACAAGGCGTGCAGTCTCCAAACGCTGCGCACCAGTCTTAGCCAAGGGTTGCAGCAACGTGGCAGCAAATGTGCGGCGTATGAACACGCAGGGAAGTCTGTCGCTCATCCATATGCAGCCTTTGCAGGCTCCAGGTGTCCAGTCAGGTAGGAGCCGGTAAGGACTCGACAGCTTTAGGCGCCATGCTGTCTTCCAACGCCGCCTTCACAGTGATCAGCCCCTCCACGATTGCTCCTCAAGTGCATGT